GTCTCCTGTAGCACTCTAATACCACTACAGCACCCCCCCAGTGCCCCAATACCACCCATAGGGTCCCCATAGCACCCCAACACACCCATAGTCTCCCCTGCCACCTCAATACCCCCCATAGCACCCCAATCCCCTCCCAAGCATCTCCCCAGGGTCCTGCCACACCCCAGCCCCCTGGATCCATTTTGGGGGTGCCCACCCCACTCCCCCAAACTCCCCATGGGGGCATAAAGAGACCATGGGGGAGCCCCTATGAAATCGGGGAGTTCCTCTGACCCCCAATATCCCCCCCAAAGGTGTGAACTGCCTGGCCTATGATGAGGCCATCATGGCACAGCAGGACCGGATCCAGCAAGAGGTGAGAAACCCCCCCAACACCCCCCCCAAAACCTCCTTGGGGGAGTCCCCAAATTGCTCCCCTCCCCCTTAGGGGGGCTCCCCCCAATCCTGACCCCCACCTTGGGGTGCAGATCGCAGTGCAGAACCCACTGGTGTCAGAGCGGCTGGAGCTGGCAGTGCTGTACAAGGAGTATGCCGAGGACGATCACATCTACCAGCAGAAGATTAAGGTGGGCACCAGTATGGGACTGGGAACCTTTAAAGGGCACCACTGTGGGCCTGGGAGGCTTTAAAGGGCACCAGTTTGGGACTGGGAGCACCTTTAAGGCACTGTTGTGACACTGGGAGCAGCTCTGGGATACCAGTATGGCACTGGGAGCCTTTAAAGGTCACTAGTTTGGCACTGGGAGCCCCTCTGGGGTGCCACTATGGCACTGGGAGCCTTTAAAGGGCACTTCTGAGGGACTGCGAGCAGCTCTGGGGTGTCCCCATGCACCTGGGGTGCCCCCCAGGGTGTCCCCATGTCTGCTGGGGTGTCCCTATGCCCCCGGGATGTCCCCTTCTCCATCCCCCCCCCATCTGACCATCCCCCCCCCCAGGACCTGCTCCAGAAGTATTCCTACATCCGGAAGACGCGGCCGGACGGGAACTGCTTCTACCGAGCCTTCGGCTTCGCTCACCTGGAGGCTCTGCTGGAGGACGGCCAGGAGCTGCAGCGGTGCGCCACGCCTGGGTTCCCCCCGGACGCCTGGGTGTCCCCCACCCAAGTCCTCTGGGTCCCTCTTGGCCCCCCCAGGTCCCCCCCAGATGCCTGGGTCCCTCCTGGGATGCCTAGGTCCCCCCTGGCTGTCCCCCCTCCTTGCATCCTGGGTCCCCCTTGCCCCCCGGGTTCCCCCCCCAACACCTGAGTCCCCCCCCGGACACCTGGGTCCCTCCCCAGGTTCAAGGAGGTCTCCGCCCGCAGCAAGGAGGAGCTGGTGGCGCAGGGGTTCACCGAGTTCACCATCGAGGACTTCCACAACACGGTGGGGACACGGGGACAGGGGGGACACGGGATGGGGGTGGGGCATGGAACACAGGGACAGAGGGGGATGTGGTCCCTGTGACCCCATGTGTGCCCCCATGACGATGCATGTAACCCCGTGTATGGCCCTGTGACGGCATGTGTGACCCTGCTTGTGCCCCTGCGACTGTGCGTATGATCCTGTCTGTGACCCCATGATGGCACATGTGCCCCCGTGATGGTGCATGTAACTCCATGTGTGCCCCCCAACACACGTGTGCCCCCTGACACGCATCTTCCTGGCAGTTCATGGAGCTGATCGAGCGAGTGGAGCGCCGCGTGCCGCTGCCGGAGCTGCTGGCGGCCTTCAACGAGCCCAGCACCTCCGACTACCTGGTGGTCTACCTGCGCCTGCTGACCTCGGGCTGCCTCCAGCGCCACCGCCGCTTCTTCGAGCAGTTCCTGGAGGGCGGTCGCAGCATCAAGGAGTTCTGCCAGCAGGTCAGGGCCTCGCACGCGCCACACGCCACCTCCCGGCACCCTCACTTGGCTTCGCTTGGTCCTTGCATGGTCTCTTGTGTGGCATCTTGCAGCTTTGCGTGGCGTTGCACGGATTTGCGCAGCCTCACACGAGCATCACATGGGTTTCACGTGGCCGTCGTGCCACCTTCCAGCACCCTCACGCAGCTCTGTTTGGTCCTTACGGGGTCTCCTGTGGCCTTTGCATGGTGTCTTGCAGCCTTGTGCAAACTTGCACAGCCTCAAACTGCCCTTGCACGGTCTTGCACAAGCCTTGCATGGGTCTTGCGTCACATCCCAGCGCCCCTGCATAGCTTCACATGGCCCTCGCATGGCATCACGCAGCCTTGCATGGCTTCGCACGGCCTCATACTGCCCTTGCACAGGTCTCGCACTACCTCCCAGCACCCTTACACAGCTTCATGGGGTCCTTGCATGGTCTTGCACAACCTCACACTGCCCTCGCACAGCTTTGCACGGCTTCTAATGGCCTTTGCACAGCTTCACACAGCCACCAATGGCCCTTGCACAGCCCTCCCACAGGTTTGCACTTGCCTTGCATGGCCTCATGCTGCTGTTGCACAGCCTTGCATTGCCCTTGCATGGCCTTGCACAGCCTCCAGTCGCCCTTGCGTGACCCTCACCCAGCTTTGCACGGCCTTACGCAACCTTGTGTGGCCTCCAATCATCCACGCGTGTCCTTCCCACAGCTTTGCACAGCTTCACGCTGCCCTTGCACGGCTTTGCCGCCCTTGGGCGGCCTCCCAAGCGCCCTTACACACCCCCAATGCCCTCTCGTGCCCCTCACACAGCCCCCTGACTCCCTTTTCCCCTTACAGGAGGTGGAACCCATGTGCAAGGAGAGCGACCACATTCACATCATTGCCCTCGCACGAGCCTTGCACGTCTCCATCCTGGTGGAATACATGGACCGGGGGGAGGGCGGTGCCACCAACCCCCACGTCTTCCCCGAGGGCTCCCAGCCCCGCGTCTGCCTCCTCTACCGCCCCGGCCACTACGACATCCTCTACAAGTGAGCTCCTGCCTCGCACAAGGCCTCGCACGAGGCTGGCGACACCTCACACGGGCCTGGCGCAGCTTCCTGAGGTCGCGCCGGGGCTTTGCACGGGGCCTCGTGCGTCCTCGTGCAGCCTCGTGTGACCTTGCGCAGCCTCGTGCAACCCTTGCACAGGCCCCAGACGGACCCTGCGGGCCCTCGTGCAACCTTCGCACGAGCACTTGTGCGGCCTTGTACGTGCCCCTGCCCTGCCTC